TTAAACCCTTTTGTGTTTTGGTCAGGATTTTAAAGAAAGATATTTTTATGGTAATTGTTGCTGGTCTATTTTACTATATATTTATGTAATAAATATATGATGAAAAAAAAAAACCAACCAACCAAACCCCCACCCCCAGACCCACCCCCCAACGCGGCCGGATCCGGCCTCTTCGTCCCACTCCCGGCCGCAAGAACGGGGGGGATCGGGGCGAGAGGACCCCCCGGCGCTGCCAGCGGAGCCGTGGGGGCGGCGCCCAATTTGGGGTGGGGGGTGTCCCAGCATCCTGGCGCCCACGCTGGGGTGAACGAATCCCTGCGAGTCCGGCGGGCGCCACGGGGGCGGTGCTGCCCCGAGGTGGGGAGGGGGGAGTCTGTGTGTCCCCCCGCTGTGGTGTATGTACAGGGGTGGGCGGGGGGGAGGGTCCGGGGTGGAGGGCACTACTGGGCGTCGATGCGGAAGGAGAGCAGCTTCTCGGAGTGGAGGTTGTTGAGGGTGCGCAGGTCCGGCAGCTTCAGCAGCAGTTTGGTGAAGCGCGAGGTCTCGGCCGGGCGCGTCTTCAGCACGAGGGCGCGCAGGGCCCGCAGCAGCGTCTCCTGCAGCTGCTCCACTGACGCCGTGTCCTCCATGCCCGAGCGGTCTGTGCGGGACAGGGGGTCAGGGGCGGCGGGGAGACACCCCAGTTCCACCCCAGTTCCACCCCCAAGACACTCTGATCCCCCCCCGAGCATCACCCTGAATCCCCTGCTGTTCCCTGGTATCACCTCAATGCCACCTCAGTGCCACCCCTGACTGCCCCAAACACCCCACAAATCCCCTGATCCCGCCCCCAAACCTCTCAATACTTGATCCCAGCCCCAAATCCCTTAACCTCCCCCAAAATGCCCCAAACCCCRCCATGCCCACCTGCCGAGACAAGGACGACGGCGGTGAAGAGCCCCAGCTCCTCGTCGCTGAGCTCGAGGGCGCTGAGCTTCTCGCTGAAGTCGAACATGGCCCCGAGCAGGTCCCCCATGCCCATGGCCCACAGCTCCTCCAGCCCGTACCGCGTGCGGCTCATGAACGTCACCGTCTGCTCCTTCACGTCAAACAGCGACGCGAAGCGAACCATCAGCACCTGCGGGCAGGGGCAGGATATGGGACCGGGTACGGGACAGTGCCACCAGCGCCGTGCTTCATGCCTGGGACATCGGGATCTGTGCCACAGCTCCCAAATGTGGGGCAGTGCTGTGCCATGGGGCACCAGGGTGATGCCAGGGGCACCGTGCCATGCCGTGGGCTCTGTGATGCATGTTGTGGCTACCAAATGTGGGGCACCAGGCCAGGGGCACTGTGCTCCATGCTACGGCTCCCAAATGTGGGGCAGTGCTGTGTCACTGGGCCATGCCATGGGCTCTGAAATCCCTGCTGTGACTACCAAATGTGGGGTACCAGGCCATGGGCACTGTGCTCCATGCCATAGCTCCCAAATGTGGGGCATTACAATGCCACGGGGCACCAGGCAATGCCAGGGGCACTGTGCCATGCCATGGGCTCTT